GGAGTAAAAGAATGTAAGTTATTATTTACAACAAAGGTGGAAATATTTTTTTTCACTATTTATAGTCTGACTAAATAATGATTTACTATCTAGAAGCTAGCTGCAGAATACATTTAGGAATCATATGACTCTGAACTTTCTGAAAATGTTAGTACTGTCTGTACTTTTCTACCTTTAGCCTCATAATGCTGTGATATTTTCATGAATATATGATCATAATGAAAACAAAAGAAATGTGAAAACAGTTTGACAACATTAGTTCTTCTAGAAGAATGAAATACATCACTTTGTCAGTCATAGATCAGTTCATTATATAAACTGCAATCAGAGAAAAATAATAACTTCCTCTCGGCCAGGTAAGACACAGAAGTTAACTGTGTAATTTGGGCCATACAGTGGGCAACCAGTTGAGTTTGAAATAGACCTCAATGTTTCAGTGCCAGTTATAGTGAACAGGCTTTGAATGAATGTATGGAAGAAAAAAGTGGAAAATTCTGTTTCCTAGAATCATAGGTTTGGGTTGGAAGGGTCCTTAAAGACCACCTAGTCCCACCCCCCCTGCCCCGGGCAGGACCCCCTTCCCCCAGCCCAGGGGGCTCCCAGCCCCGTCCAACCTGGCCTGGAACCCTTCCAGGGAGGGGGCAGCCACAGCTGCTCTGGGCACCCTGGGCCAGTGTCTCACCACCCCATAATGACAAAACAGTTCTTCCTTATATCTAATCTAAATCTACTCTCTTCCAGATTAGAACTGTCATCCCTCATGCCCTACACTCCCCCATAAAGAGTCCCTCCCCACCTTTCCTGTCCCCCCTTTAAGCACTGGCAGGCCACTGTAAGTTTGCCCTGGAGCCTTCTCTTCTCCAGGCTGAACAACCCCAACTCTCTCAGCCTGGCCTCATCAGGGGAGGTGCTCCAGCCCCCTGATCATCTTTGTGGCCTCCTCTGGACCTGCTCAAGCAGGTCCATGTCCTTCTTATGCTAGAGGCCACAGAGCTGGAGAGAATACTCCGGTTGGGGTCTCACAAGAGCAGAACAGAGGGGCAGAATCGCCTCCCCCACCCTGCTGGCCACACTTCTCTTGATGCAGCCCAGGATACGGTTGACTTTCTGGGCTGCAAGCACATATTGCCAGCTCACAGTAATTTTTTTATCCACCAATACCCCTAAGTCCTCCTCACATGGCTGCTCTCAGTCCACTCATCATGCAGTTTGTATCCATGTTTGGGATTTCCCTGACTCAGGTGCAAGGAAGTACCACCTTTTGTACATATTACTAGAACACAGGCCAAAAAACAAGTGGAGACAAGGATTTAGAACTGTTCTTATTCACAGCCATGTTCCCTAGACACTGGGAAGAGGCCTTCATTTTTTTTTTTTTTTTTTTTTAGTTGCATACTTGCCAAAACAGTGGCCAAGCTTCAAGAGAAGAGGTAATAATACTATTAACACAGTACAAGCTCTTCGTCAACAGAAGAAGCAGATGCCTAACAATGGGTTAGACCACCTCTTGAGCTCCCCGAGTACCAGGGACGTGCCGAGGCAAGGGACACCACTACTCTCTCTGCCGCTTTCCACCTCTCCATTTTGACAGACCAGAGAATCTAAGCAATTCTGTTCAGGCAGATTAGATGCTTCCTCTCCCTCCCCTCCAACATCCACCTCCTCCCAGGGGCACCTGCCTGAGTTGAGACAATGTCTACATGAGATTGGCTGGATTATCACCCTGTTCAGGTTATTCCGCTAAATACACTGTCATGATCTTGCAACAGCCCCCGGTTCAATTTGAATATCAAAAAGACTTGACACTATTGTGCCTGAGGGTGACAGAAGCTGTTTATTTATCAAAACCTAGTTTCTATTTTCAAGCATAAGCACTAAAAGTAACTTCTTGGTATTTACTCTATAGAATTTCAAGTTTTTCACCAAACTGAACAAGCCGGTAGTGCAAAACACAAGATATTTTTATATTAAGAGCAACTACTCAGAACAAGTTTTTCAGAGTAACTCAAAATCACTAGTAAAGAACATGCCCAAAAATAGTTGCCTGTTATTGACCCTCTGTGGGCTGACAGGGAAAGTGTCCCCCTGCACGGGTACGGTGGCTTCTCGGATACAGGGGCTCAGAGCTATGTGAACTACAGCCAGCTTTGAAGCTGTGCTGCATGAATATCCAACACTTGTTAAAATCCCCGAATCTGCTCGCAGGTTTGCCCTCGATTTCAACAGGAGCAGGATCATGCTTTCTGAGGGTGCTTAAGAGCTGCTCCGCACCCCCCATACAAAGTGAGTGCATTCATACAGGGAGCCCTGTCACTCCTATTCACTGCCCACTGCGCTAAACCCCAGGGAAGTTGTTTCTGGGTCAGTGTCTTGTGCAGCTGTTCCAAAGTCCTGGTCAGGAGTACGGAGGGGACAGACTCAAGACTTTCCAAAAGTTTTCAGACTCCCCTCATTCCGTGTGCTGGTTAAAATCTGTAGAGGTTTTACCCCTCAACCCAGCCTTCTGATGCATTACTGATGGGTGCTCCCCCGGCATTTGGGGATCTATAAATCACACACACCTTTCACTTTTTCTATTCAAACGTAAACAGCGTGGGAAAAAGACAGTGTCTCTTTTTGCATGACCCAAATGGAGCTTTGCAGGAAGAGCAGCATCAGGCCCACACTGCTTACATTTTCTCGCGAGCAGAACAAACGTCAAAATCTAGTTTTCTTCAAAGCTAACCACATGCAAAAGCAAGGCTGCTTTGGATGGCTGGAAACAACAGGTATAAATAACCTCCTGTGCCCTACAAAGCAAGAGCCTGGAAAGGCTCCTTGGGTTGTTTTCTGCACATCAGCCTATGAGCTCGGGGTGTTTTAATGCTCTGTTGATGCCACAGGAGCCGACAGAAGCAGGGACAGATTACACCGAGAAGGAGGTAAACAAGTTGTTTACAACTCAGCGGGGCTGCAGCGTATCCTCCTTACATCGGCTGAAAGGCAATGAGAGCATTGGACACTGGGCTGCTGATGGGAAAGGATCCCTGGAGCTGCCAAGCTCTGGCTCCAGAAATGTCTGCGGGGCTTCAATAACAGGAAATCACGTGTGCTGTCATTATCAGCTGCTGAGCGAGACAGATGCACCCAGATCAATATCAGTGTCCGATATCAAAGAGCTATTGTGACGGTACCCAGCGTTTTGAACTAAGGAGAACAACAAAACTATTTTAAATTATTAGGGCTGGCAAAAATCCCCTGACTTTCTCTTTTTTGTTTTGTTTTTGTTTTTCCTGAGGCAGTGGATTCATCACCATTAAAGGAACTGAAAGTCCTCTCTGCCCAAAGTAACTTTGATCATTATTGATCTAATTAAACTCTGTTTGCTTAAGGTTGCAGTGGCAAAGGGCTGCAAATCAGCAATCTTCCTGATCTCTTGTAATAGTGAAGTGTATCTGTTCACTCAGCCTGGGAATCAGCATGTCTTTCAGCACAGCTGAAACTGGAGTAAGCTTCCCTTATTATGCCATGTTTTATGCTGTCTAAAAATACAGTTTAGGAACAAAACAAAACATCTCCAGGCCTCTTGTTCTGAGCAGGACTTGGGGACTGGAGAGGCTCTGCACATAGGCAAGTATCCTCCCTGCACTAACACTAGAGCTGAGGGGGTCTTGACCACACTATCATTACACGACACTGCTGATTTCTGCAATGGGCTTTCTGTTTCTTGTCATTTATGTTGTCAAATAAAGTATGTCTGTAAACAAGCAAGCCACTTTAGCTTTGCGCAAATTATACACTAAGAGATGAACTCTGTTTTACGCAGAAACATATCTCTCCTGATTATTTCAGCCCCCCCTACCTTTTTTTTTAAAAAAAAAAAAAAAAAAAAGCTGGTAGGTTAGGATACTTTGGAAGGATCTTTTTCTCCTGTGCCTTTAAAACCATTGCAAGCTGTTGTAGAGAATTCAGTAGTTTTCAGGCCCAAAGTGTTTCAAAGGAAATCCACAGGTAGAATCAGGGAGCTTATTTCATAGCCTAAACAGAGATACTTTTGTTATGCAAGGACAGACCCTGCAGAAGAATTCCTAGGATACTTTGGCCCCTCTGATTTCAGATAGGGAAGAATCTGTGACACATGAGAAATGCACTGAGGTGAATCATGCACTTCTTTCCATTGCTTCAGCTGGGTGACTGCTGTGCTATTGGTGCTTCAGAAAAGAGCCAGCAGCTAAAACAGATATTTGCCTTCTGCCAGTTCGGCTGGTGGCTCATCTGTTTGCATTACACACTCTAGCTTGTAATTGCATTGCTGTATGTTTGCATGTGCTCACATAATCTTGCACATCCTGATAAAAGCAGTGTGTAAGGATGAGATGGTGCAGTCTGCACACTAGCCCATACATACATTTCTCTTAAGTGTAAGTCTGGTGCTCGAAGGCAGATAAACAGATTTAAAACAAGAAAAGGTCCCGCCTTGGTTTTATGGAGGGCTGGGTGGGAAGTGGCACTGGACCGAGGGAGGTCAGCAGGTTTCCGTCCCTTCGGCTTTGGACCAGCCATCAGTGCACGAAGGGCTGACTCCTTTCAAGGCTGGGAAGAGACTTGGGTTGGTGGCAGGGTCTGAAGCACGGGCTTCTCTCACCCACAGCTGAAGCACTCCTCCGCCGCTTTTTAAGATTTTGCCTTTGGCAATCATCCTGGCTCACCTGCCTCTAAAAAAAAAAAAAAAAAAAAAAAAACAACAACAAAACAAACAAACAAAAAAAAAAAAAAACCCAAACAGCCCTGCCTCGCTTCCCGACCCCACTTCAACCAAGGGTTGGCTGGGCCGGAGGGCTGCCACCTCCCCCTCTGACCGAGAAGTCTTCCGCAAGGAAAGAGTTAAACGCGGCGCAGAGGGCCCAGAGCTGCCTGCGGTTGTGCAGCGCCTCTCCCTCAGCCTCCCGCCGGCTCCGCGGCCCTGACGGAGGTTGCCTCTGGAGTATAAAGCTTGTCTCCCGTGATAAGATAGACGAGTCCTTAATGCGATTCCTCACATCCCCAGAGGGATATCCATAAATGCCGCAGAATAAACAAACAGGGGAAAATAATGAATGGGAGCAAAGCAGCAAGGCAGCAAAACAGGGCGGCGGCGGCGGCGGCCGCCTGCGGCCGGGAGTAAACAAGCGGCCGTGCGGGCCGGGCGCCGCCCCCGGCGAGATGGCGGCCGCCCCGCAGGCCCTCAGCCCCTCAGCCCCTCGGCTCCGCCGTCCCTCCGTCCCTCCGTCCGTCCGTCCGTCCTTCGCCGAGCCCGCGCTGCTCCCTCACGTGCTCTGAAGGCAGCGGTCTATTTTTACAACTGTCTGAGAGCCCTGGCTTCCTCTGGCAGATCCTCCGCTAATGCTGTTACCCGGCAGAGGAGAAAAGGCAGTGAAGCTGCTAAAATAACTGCGCATCACCGAAATAGATGGAAAAGGCATTTTAGGTCATGCAGTCCGTGACCCGGCCACCAAAGGTTGCTCTCTACAGAATAAATCTGAGTGCTTTGTAGATCAGGTCTATATTGATGTATTAGACTCCCTGTTGTAGATGATTCTTTTTCAGACCAAGTTTTGGTGCTTTTTTTTTTTTTTTTTTTCTCTTGATCATGAGCAACCTTGATCAAAGTAATAGTATGAACTGGCACAGCTTCAGTAGTAACTGTTTACCCAAGGCAAAAGTTAGGCTTTTTTCCTTTGTTCCTTTTCTCACTGTTTTTATGACATAAAATGTTACTCTCTGCAATATAGAAATGTTCTACAAGGTTGCTTGCGCAAAATCTAATAAAGTAAGCTTATTGTTTCCCACAAGAAGATTATGTTTGAATTTCTCTTTTCTCCTCTTTTATTTAAACTGCTGTCTGGTTCACTTTGGCAGGGTTCAACTGTGAAAGTCACACAAGTCCTGACTGCCTTCTCATGATACTGGATTTCAGACTGTTAACATGTGTTTCAGACAGTGAAGCAGGTATTTTAGGGCTTCTCCGACCTTCTTTAAATGTTGTAATAGCTGATGGTCATCAAGTGATCCTGTCATTCCCTGAGTGCTTAGATAGGTATATCCAGGATGACCTTCAGTGTGTATCCTGCCCTGCTGACCATTTATTCTCTTAACTCTTCATCTAGGAGGTTGGCGATCAGAAGGGAACCTGCCAACCCAATCAAGAGGGAGCTGTCTCCATCGTGCAGCCTGGCTGGAACCCCCTGAACCGGTGAAAGAAGATTGGAGGGAGAGATGGAAAATAACAGCTGAAATCCTGGGCTTGCCAAGATTCCCTGCACCTGAGCTGAGACAATTTAATGGCTGCAGTTACACCTGCTTTCCCGCATCGGAGAGCATTTCCATATTGCTGAGCCAGGGTATGTTCTCTGGCCATATTCTAACTCCTAATTCTGCACCAAAACCAGATCTGCACACCAGCCTGCTCCAGTGTGCCAGTGGAAATGGAACCTTGTGGGTGAGGTCTGGCTGGGAATGGTGGCACGAGCCGGATGGCACTCATCCACCCCCACAGAGCGCGGGAGTGCTAAGTCTGGATGTGAGTCTTTCCTTCTGTCCCTTCTGATCCAGTGGAAAGGCAAACAGATTAGCTTAAATAATTGGCTCTTTAGAACTGTTAGGACTTCAAAATGGAACAGAGAAATAATGCTTACAGACTCAGGAGCAGGTAGGAGGTAGTTTTAAGAAGCTGCTTCTTATCAGCTCTCAGCTGTTCTGCCTCTCAGCTGAGACAGTGCCTGACTGTGGCCTAATTTTGATGTGATAAGATTGGGCCAAACATGAATTCCAAATGTGCAAAAGCCATTCAGAGACCAGTCTGCAAAACTTAATTTCATACAAGTGTTTAAAACCTGTATCATCAGGAGAGGAGGGAGTTTTGAGGAGAGAGCAGGAATAGATAAATAGATAAATAGCAAACCTCTGCCATTTGAGATAAGATATACCCTTTGTTTGCAATTCGATGCTATAGTACTTATGACAGGCAACAGAACATTTCTGATTTATTTTAAGAGAGCAATGGTAAACAGACTATATAGGTAGTATGTTAGTGTTTACCTGTGTGATAAGTTTTGCAGTTTTGAAGAAAAATTTATTTTTTTAAAATCTAATCAGGTTTGCAAAGGAGATAACCAAAGGATATTTTACTATGGAGGTGGAATATGAATTAAGCGTCTTTACAGTTAGGTAAGGAACAATAGCCAAGAGATTAAATTTGATAGTTCATAATATAACCCCTATGGAGTACCAAAAGAGGGTGGGACTGAAGCAGCAACATTTCCAGTGATTAGAGAACCAGGAGAAGATAGCATGGAGGTCCAGAAGTCAAGGAGAAGGCTGTAACAAAGAACTACTGGAAACAGTGAGGTGTTTGAATGTGCAGATGATTCCTTCAGCTGGAGACTTCCTGAGACACACGGATATCATTGAGGGCACTGGTGCAGGTAGAAGCCAGGAGCCAGGGTGGCCTGAACCCTGTTAGGAGGTGAAGAGCAGAAAACTGAGGCAAGGACTGTGAACAGAGCCACGCACAACCACAAGAGAGTTAGAAAAGGTGTTGAAGAGGCAGAAAGCAGTGACAACAGGTCTCTGCCGAACTTATCAATGAGAAGTTATCACGGTCCAACCATAGAGAGAGCTAAGAATAAGAACGCTGAAGAGGTCAAGGAAACTTCCAGAGATTGAGACAAGGCAGGGAGGGTTAGCTACTACTGTTGTAAATGGAATGATGAAATAGTATTGATATGGCAGAAAAGGAAGTGCAAAGACACTTCTAGCAGTGGAAGCTGTCTGGTGTTGAACTTTTCCCAGGTGCTTTCAGTGGCTCAGCATTTGGCAGATGAGGAAGTTGAATATTGCAGGTATTTATTGTGGTTTTTGTTCTAGATTTCACGTTCACTTAGGAAAGAATGGTATGGAGAAATCCATTTATGTTTTTTACAGCCATTTTGTCTATTAAAAGTGTGACTTTAGCCCTTTAAATCTGTTTGTAGCAGCACTTCAGCGCCTCATAGTATCCTTCTAAGTAGCTGGTATGTGATGGCTCTTTACAGGCATCTGCTCAAACTATATCCAATTAAAAAAAATAAATCTGGGAACAAACTGCTCCCACTTTCAGCAGACTGGCAGGTATGAATTCTGCCTTCATAAAAGGCTTATTCCTGTTCTCAGTTCTGTTTATGGCTATCAGGCCAGGAAAACTATATTGTGTAACTTTTAAGTCATATTGCGTTTAAATTTATCTAACATTGTCATCTGCAAATAGCATTAGAACAACATCAAGTCAGTAAAGAAAACATGACAAAGCAGCTCAGAAACCTAAAATGTGGTGGCATACCTCATTATGAAATACTGCCAATAGTTTTGGGGAGTTAAGTGTGTCACGTTTCATTGGTATTGGGGATAAATCTTACTGATTTCTGTCAAGGTTAACAGACTTCTTGGTTTTGGTCAATACAAAACAAATACAAAATCTCTGTCAGCGGTGATACCTTCCACCTCATGAGATCTGGAAAAAAGCTCAGAAGCCTGCCTTGCTTAAGACCTATTCAGCATGAGCACTATTAGCATCAGTGTAGAACGATGCAAGGTGTGGAGCTCTAACAATGGCATTATGGCAGAATTTTTGGCACCAGGTTGAGCATTCACTTACAAATGTACTACGGCAAAATTTTGCACTTGAACCTCCCTGCGGTTCACGAGAATAAACGCTGCTGGCAGTGCAGCAGCAGCAGCAGCGGGGCATGCAAGTGTTAGAATTTGCACTTGTAAAATTTATAGGGACCAACTGGTTTTGCAGGTGTACTGCCTAACACTTGTGTGCACCCAGTTGCTGGAGCAGATAAAGCGTGAGCTGGGGGCTGGAATGCTGGACGGGGACCGGGGAGCCGATGCCCACCCCAGGGCTGCCGTGAGGGGCCTGCTTTGAGAGGGAGAGCTCTTGGCTCTGTCTGTAAAACAGACCCTTATATGGTATCAAGTTTGGCACTCCGAAATGTAGGTATCTCTAAACACTGCACTTTCTTAAAAGGTTAGTCAGGAAAAAATGTGCACACTTAGAAAATGTAGGCATTTAAAATAGAAGCCCAGTACGAGGTCTTTAGATAATATAACTCATAATGATGAGTCAGACACTTTTATTTTAATTGTCAGACATAATCTCCAGCTCTGTATTTACTACCCATCTGCTCAGAGGGTTGTACTTGCTACCAGATTTACTGGGGGAGAGGAGCAAGGAAGAACAGGAGTGGGAGAGGTGTTGGAAGGAAACAGGAGACCCTCCTGTGGCTGCTGGGACTGAAGCAACCTTTGTCACTGTGCGGAGCTCCTTTCCCTCGTCAGGCCACAGATGCATGGGAGTGTGGCTTCTTCTGGAAATCACAAGACAAAACTTCGAAATTGAGATACTGTGTGGTCCCTAATTGACGATCCTTCTTTTCTGAATGTTCTCAGAAGCATAGGTGAGCAATGGATATGCACAATAATTGACACATTTCCAGTTTTAATGACTGCTATTAAGCATGATACAAACTGTTCATTGATACAACAATATTCAAAAAAGCATTTCATTTGAATTTACCGGCTGGTGGCTTTGTTTCCATTTCTACTGTGCTTTACTAGTAATTTTCACCCATCATAGAATGGGTAAATCACTTGCTGATTCCTCCTTTCAATGGGAATTCGTGAGCATAGCTTCCCGTTTTATATAATTATAAAATACTGTAGTGTTGATTCTTAGAGCTGACCACATAATTTTACTCTGTCTATCAGGGGCAAATAAGCTTCATAGCACTGATAGCCTTTCGGTATCAGAATGAAAGAATTTTTGGTTAGGTACACCTTGTTTGATGAGTTATGCCTTACTGTTTCTGATAAGCTGTGTATCAGAAGTCATATAGCATAGGAATGAAGAGGAAGGCAGAAGTGCAGTCATTTCAGATGCTTCTCTGCAGGACTGAACAGCTGAGGACACCAGCTATAACGTACTAATTCTAATAGTTCTGCGTGAGAAAGAGCTACTTTAAGATCCTTTGCAACCAAGCCTCCATGTGGAATATAGCTGTGAATACACGGATCCAAATCCAGGATATACAAACCCTGCTGCGTGGAATGCTTTGTCACTTGAACCTCCGTATGCTACAGATCCAGTTTGGGGGCGGGAGGGGGGAATAAGTTATCTACTTACATTCTAAATAGATACTGAGCTGCTGAGAAGCTGAGCCTAATGACTCCTTTTGTAATCAGGGAAACGATTTTGTGGCAAAACCCGTCTGGCTCGTAGCCTGCTCTGAGCCACCCCTCTCGCTGCCCGCAGTGGCAGAGAGGCAGAGCTGGGCACGGCTGTGCCCTGGCCCCCACGCTCCCGGCCCTTCCTCCGTGTAAACACCGTGGGGTCGGAATGCTGCAGGAATTTGGGGTTGGGAGCCAGCCTCCGAGGGGAGCGGGAAGGAGCAGCTGCTTTGTGTGACGGGCTGTCATCCAGAGCTTACTTAGCTCGTTTGAAGCCAGGCAACCTTCTAAGGCTACGGAGAGGCTCCCGGGGAAGCTCGCAAGGCTGGAGGGGAGCTGCCAGGCAGCTCCTCCTTGGTGCTGAGAGCAGCCGTGGATGCCACACGCTCGCAAGCAATACGATGCCGACACATCTCGCCCTTGCCGTCGTGCAGGGAAGAGCAGACTCAAAACACATATGGCTTCTGTTTCTCCTTCAGAACGCAGCAATTTGCATGCAGAAGCACCATGTGCTGCTAAACTCATGGTAATTTAATGTTTTTAAATCAGTCTTAAAACCATTGAAAGTGTGTGGTGGTAACTCAAGTCCTTCTCCTTGAGTTACCGCTTAGTTCGACACAAGGATCCGACCTAGGCTTTCATTTACACATTCATGGCCAAGTCAGCTTTCAGGATTGAATTAGTTTCTAGTGACCATGTTTTGCTCAAAGAACATTGATATACACATGGTTCTCAGTAGTGTTCCATGGACATCTCTATGCTGACATTCACCAATATATAAGAATTAGAAATAACTTTCTAGCTGAGTGCCCATGAGGACGAGTCAGAAAGCTGGTCCATAAATCAAGTTAATACTTTTACCTTTGCAAATTTATCTCATTTTAAGATATCCTGTACTGCGCAGAGACTTCCTTAAATTGATCACCGAGAACATCATATTCCTTTGGGACAGAAGCAAGTGTCTCATTGTTCCCTCACTACCGGTCTGTGTCATTTTGTGAAAATGCAGTCTTAATTCTGAGTTTCCTGGAGCTCTATCACATAATGTTTGTCACACATTCAAACTAAAGCTGTGCACCTGCAAATTCTACTTAAAAGCAAGAGTTTTCTTTGCTGAGGGAAAATACAAGGAAGCCTATGTGACACACACATTAACCCGGGAGAAATAAATTTGGCTAAATTGCACTGAACTGTCATTCTTTTGTTACCAAATATACTTTGTGCCTGAAAACAGGCCTAATTGTGAGGACTCCCTAAGCACAGCGAATAACTCTTTAAATAGCCAATGATCTTCATATCATTAGTTCCCCCTTCTGAAAACTGAAATGCCCTTTAATTATCCAGCTGTAGGAGCATATAAGATGGTACTAAATTTTGCTTAAGTACAGAGTAATGCCAAAAAGGAAGCCAAAATACATAATTATGTTGGCATTAGCATTCTATAGCTGTGTGATATCAAACTGCACAATGGCTGGAACATTCTGTGAAGGGCAATGCTGTCTGGGTAATGTAGCAGAAACACTTATCTAATAGCATGCCCTCCTGTGCCCTCTGTCAGGGCGCCAGCACATTAGTCCTATTATCAGCCTGCAAATACTGGAGGCTTCCACATCATGGCTGCTGCCAAAAGAAACAGTCTTCCCTGTTACAGGAGCAAATGTCTGTGCACATAAATGAAACTGAAGAGTAATTAGATTACAGCGTTTCCAACTGACCCTCGTGCAACAAAATATTCGGGCTTGCTAATTTACATTAATAAAGATCCCACTATTTTTACAGCATGTTTGCTTTAGTTCACAGGTCAGGCGTTTTCCATAATACGTTCTAAACAGACTATTTCAGTCAAGTCAAGAAATGTTGAGGTGACTGCTTGTAAAATTATCTTTAAAAGCACTCTTTGTCTTTTCCTTCCCCTACGTTATGTAGTATGTTTTGTTTTGTTTTGTTTTTTTTTCACATAAGGTTAGTATTTCATAGGTCCCAGATTTGTTTGTTTGTTTATTTGTTTTGACAATTTGAACTGAATAGGTAAAAAAAAAAATGAGGAACAATAACAAATACCTGTCCAACCAACAACAAAAGAATCTGTGAGAAAGTTATTTAATGTATTTAGCTCCTTCATTAGAAGCATATTGCAGTAGTCTGTCATTGTGTGACAGGCACATCTGAAACAATTTCATTTAGTACAGGAAGAAGGGAACCAGGCTTTTATATGGGATCTAAACCACACACAAAAAAAAAAAAAAACCAAAACCCCCCAAATTAAAATAAATGCCTTGCTTTAATTATTTTTTAATAAAACAAATGCCAGATTACAGTTTTCAGGGATAAATCTATCCATTTATTGATAAGCATTCTCATCAACATTACAGAGTAAAAAACATCTGTTCATGTAGCCCATGTAGTTGAATTCATATTAGCTTGTATAAACAATCTATGTACTATTAAGCCCATCATATTAAAACTAAGTCAGTCAGTGGTCAAAGAAGGTAAGAGCTAAGGGATGCAAGTTTTTGTATGGTTTAGATTTTGTGTTTATAAAATTCTAAAATACTTTCCTGAAACATGAAATAATATTGATCCCTTCATTCTGTTGGCTTAATTTAGATGACTCAATAATTTGAAGAATTTCTAGGTGAGGAGAAACAAAACAAGATCCTGCTATTGTATTCTTTTAGATTAAACATTTCCATTTGTGTAAGGTGTTTCTGTCTGTCCTGGGTTGAGTGAGTGGTGGAGTTTTTTGGTGGCAGGGGAGGGGGCTATCGGGGCGACCCCTGTGAGAAGCTTCTCGAAGCTCCCCCAGCTCCAAGCCAGCTCCACTTCTGTTTGGGAAATTGAGCCAATCGGCTGCGCCTCTGCGATAACGTATTTAAGAAGGGACGTGGTGACGGGCAGTGGGACTTGTGAGGAGGAGTCGCTGCAGCTGCATGAACACCAAGGTCAGTGGAGGAACAGAGGAAGAAAGGAGGGGGGAGGTGTGCCAGAGCAGAGACCCCCCTGTATCCTGTGGAGAGACGGCAGCGCGGCCCCCCCCTGCCACCCATGGAGATCTACGGTGGAGCAGACATTGATTTATGGCGTGTGG